ATTTGTTTTTGGTTCGAAAAAATAATGGGTCTCATGCATAAAAACGAGTAAAAGCGATGAGTTGAGTCAAGTAAGCAATTGCCCGTAAGTTGAGTTAGATCGAACAGCAACAGCTTTTGCTCAATTTCGTATGCATAAAAATGAGTTCAAACCAATTGCAATTACTTGAGCAAATTGAGATCAAACTTCTAATTGTTATCGAATTCTTTAATCGTACGTGCCATGCTAAGTACATTTTTGCTTATAACTTTGGTTTGGATTGGCCGATGATTACCAAAATTTCAGTGAATTTAAATTAAGGACCGTAGTATCTAAAAACGTAAAGAACTTTAAAACATGCTAAGTCGACTTAGCATACTATGGTTCGGAGGCGTCGAAATAAACATTTTTAGTGCAAAAAAATTAAAGAAAATAAATATTTACTTGGAAAAAATCAGTTACCAAGCATTAAAAATAAGAAAAAATCAATAAATCCAATTGCAAATGCAAAGCAATAATTTGCTTGCCATTTCATTTGACCATATTTTATTTGATCTGTATCTTTCGCGGATTTTATCCTTTCGCTTGCTATGGGAGATATAAGTTTTGCAACATCCGCAATTGTTCGCGACACAGTTGATTGATGTACTCCAATATCTGTGGCTATACCATTTTGGAATCCAGGATCCGCACAGAATCTTATATAGAGTCGAAATTTATCAAAGTTGCTAAGGGCACCACCACGCCTACCTTCTGACTCCCCAAAAAAATAATTCGCTAACCAGCAAATGCTGCTATCATCAAATTTATGTATTTATCATTTTATTTTAATTATATAAAAAATAATTTTGGTTACAAACCTGTATAATTTTTTATCCTCACTTGCTAAATTTGTCTTACGCTTTTTATTATTTATTTTTTATTTATTTGTGGTACAAAATATTCAACCATTATTCCTATTTAGTGCACGCGAGTCAACTAAGAGGCATGCTCAACAAAAGTTAAGCAAGAGCTCACAAAAGTAAGCAAAAGCTTGTTTTTATGCATATGAAAATGAGAACAATCTCATCCAACTTCAATTTCTAAGTTCAAACTGAGCAAGAAGAGATCAAACGTGAACATCGAGTAAAAGCAAATACATCAAATTTTATTATGCATACGACAAGCACCATTTCCTCAAAAAATCGAGTCCGAGCTCAAGCTCGCGTTTTATGCATGAGACCCAATGTCATCATATTTTTTTTTAATTGTATACAAGAAATTTCAGAAAAAAATGTAGGGGTTATTCTGCTATTTTACCCGAATTTCGCCGAAAAATTGACATATATAATAATCACTTTTTGTGTATAAGTATACGCCTTGCGGATTATATCAAGACCCTTCCGATAAATCTTAGAATAAATAAATCTTAAAATAAAATAATATTATGAAATATACATTTTAAATTGCGTGTAAATCGCGTAATTCTCAACATCATTTGATGCGCATGCGGTTTCCAGGAAGTACTGAAGTTTATCTTCCAATCCATATATATTTTGCGAAATTTCATTTGACGGCTAAGATGTGCCGCACGTTACCTTGAAGTACCCAAAAAATCGTAAAACGCGAATAATTTCCGAAAACTCCATATGCCATTAACGCGCATCCGATTTCGGTGTGCACCCTAAAAAAATACATCGATCTATACCATTTCAATGTGGTCCATTAAGAACCATGGATGTGCCAGCACAATCTATTTTGAGATAAATTGCGTACATCTCTCTTTCGGCTGAAGTTTTTAAAGTTCTCTTTTCGAAAAAGATCAAAATCCGTATGAAGTCATTTATTGAAGCGGAAATGATACACAGAAAACGCAAGTAAATCCGCGATATTTTCAAAAACATTTTTTGCCAAATTTCGTGTTTTTGGAAGGCCAGTTTCCGCCGTTCTAATTGATGGATTTTCACGAAGAAGATTTTATATCATCCGAAACGTAAAAAACCTTATCGATCGCGGGTACCCATATTATTCAGTTGACAGATCTAAAAATTTGGCCCGAAAAAAAGGTTTTTTAGAAATTTGATCGCACAAAATTCGCACCTTCGGATGAGTATTACTCTGAAGTTACAAAGGGGTGAACCTCCGCTTCAGCTATGTTAAAAAATTGGCAATATTGCCCATATGTGTTAAAGTATTAAAACAATATAACAAATTATATATGAATTGAGATATACAATTCATATATAATTTGTTATACAATTACAAAAGTTCATATACCAGAGTTATTGAACAATGATTAAAAAATATATTTTTAGAAGATCCCAAGGATTGTCTTACTTCAAACTATAACCAACGACCACTTCGCCCTATTCTCACATGGAAAATATTGTTTTTTTCCATCGACTATGGATCAGAATCCATGAACGGATTTTAAACTTCTGTACATTCTTTTTATCAATCACCGCAATGTTTGGAAATCACACAATTCATTATCAATAGTTTCGAATTGTTTTGTCATCCGACATTCGATAAAAACTCAAATGCTTGAATATAGTTTTCGTTATTAGTATTGTCTTGAATATTTGTTTATTGCCAACAACAATAACCAGCCACTTAGGTGAGGTAGCTAGTGGGCACAATACACTCATTGCTCTCTCGCCGTTATTGTTTGTTTAGTTTATGTGAGTATTCTATACTCACCACAGTATAAGCCTTTTTAGCTCAGTGGCAGAGCACTGGTCTTGTAAACCAGGGGTCGTGAGTTCAATCCTCACAGGAGGCAAAACTGAAAATAATTATTTTAAATAATAAAATTTTAATTTTATTTATCATTTATTCAGTTTACAAAACAACGAAACATTTACGGGAAATCTCCTAAAGTATATGTATTTTTGTTCAGTATAAAATTCAATCTCGATAAAGTCTGTAACACGAAAACACGTTCTAAAAGTATGATGTTTTGTATTGAAAATTGAATATATTGGTCCATTACTGAACCTTTCACTTTCTGTATTTTGATAAATTTAGCAGCCCCACAGAATTATGTATTATTTGTATTATGTATGTATTATTGTATTATATATCAACGTAGAAAATTATTAATATATTCCATAGCCCCAATATAAAGTCTCCGCCCCATTTTCGGTATTATGCAGGTTGAAGTCGTAGCATTCATTTTTTCTGGGAGTAAAAAAACATATCTGCATTTTATCACCAAAGGAATTGTAAAAATGTTTCAATATGGATCCATGCTATGAATTAGTCATCCATATTAAGATGGCGCCCAACATTCGGTATTAGGGGGGTTTTATGATTTTTTTCGTTAAGATTCTCGTGGGGTAGGAAAACTTTATACCGAAACTTATCAATATCGATCAATATCAACTGTATCCCCCGAGTTTCGATATTTTTACGATTCAGCATATGTATATCAACCGAATAAGTTGTAATTTGATATTTTAAGTTCTCATTTGGTGTCATTTGGTTCATCTTAAAAATTTATTGTTATTGGGGTATTATGTAGGGTAGGCCCCATATAGCGTTACCCTCCGATTTTCCATAATTTGAGGATTTTTGCTGCGTTTTCAACCGAATGGACTATAATTTCATATTTTGAGTTCTCATTGGATGTCAAATCATCCTACAAAGAATATTGTTATTGGTCTATTTTTAAGGTGGGACCCATATGAGGGTACCCTCCGATTTTCAGAATTAGAGGATTTTTTATTGAGATTTCGGTTAGAACTCAAAAAATGTTCCAATTTTCTCACCGAACTGTCAATCTTCTCACGGTAATTTAGAATTCCTAGCTCTTGGAATAACCCCTGACACAAATTTTATTACAATACCACCAATAGTTTAAAAATTATGCGACAAAAACCGGAACATTATATTTTTCATTTTCGCCATTTCCATCTCAGCATCAATAGATGGCGCTATAGTCTCAAAACGGTCTTGTCGTTAGGGAATTTGGAGACCGTTTTGAACAATTGGCGGCATTGCAAAAACAATTGGTGTCATACGAAAGGTATGACATAAGTATGATATGTTGTATAAGAAAATTATTTAAAAACATGCGTTTTGAAATTATAATCTTAAGCAGTGAGCGGTGCAGTATAGTCAGACGGGCCCGACCATATGATACCCTACACAACTACCTCGAAAATCTAACATTCTACGGTTCTATATTCTGTATATAGAAATTGCACCCTCTTGACCGATTATAGGCCAACAGCTCCACTTTCTAACCCTGGCATATTTTCCAAATCGTGATTTTCCGAGTTAGGATTTGGTCGATTTAACCCTCGGAATATTGACCGATCATTATCTAAACAGCCGTTCTAAATATTTGGTCAGATCCCCTTCACCGTTTAAAATATGTAATTTTCTTCATATAATAATTGGCCTCTAGAGTGACTAGAAAATCTGACAAAAATAAAGTTTTCGGTTCTTTACACACCTAAATATCATCTCAACATCACCGAAAATTATAGGAGACCTCCTTGACCATAACTGTAACTTCATGAAAAAATTTCAAAGCGATCAGTGCAACATTTCCGCCCTCTACTGGGGTCGTCTCAGCTAATCGAGATATGACGACCGGCATGCTTAAAGGTGGGTCTAGGACCAATATTTCGCGGCGTTACCAACTTTTGGAGCAGCACAAAGCTTTAATACTCTGATAACATCGTTGTGTAGGGTATACAAAGTTTTCCAAATAGTAAACTTCTCACCTTTCGTATGGGATCAATTTTATTAAAATGCCGCCAGTACTTCAAAAGTTATGCGACAAAAATCAGATAATTACATTTTTAATTTTCTAGATTTCAATCTATAGCAACACCAGATGGCGCAGCGGTCGCCAAATTGTTAGGTAGCTACGGAGGTGCACGGAATTGATCATTTTTCCCAATTTGTATGGGCCTATCTCGTATTCATTTGCATGTTACAAACCACAGTGTGGTTAAAACTATAAAAAGAACTATTTTTTATTTAAATATTAATTTGGTTTATTTATTTCCATGTAATTTGAATCAAAAAACTCAGTTGATCAATTCTTTTCTCATGGATGCATCCAGTGGTGGTATGGCCTCACGTGGTATTAAGAAGGTTGATAAATTGAATAAATCCAAGAACACTTTGTAACGATCACTGTAATACACAGAAGGAATAATGAAAAATGGATTTCGAAAAAAATTTAATTATTTTTTTACCTTAGGGTTGACCGCAAGTATTGATAACCAGAAGAGCCGCCAGTACCCAATTGCTGGGAACCAATCATACGTTGGACCATAATCACGTGATTGTCTGTTATAAATATTTCAATATTATTTGCATTTTTAAATTAAAACTATTTTCATATAATTTTCAACTTACATCTCCATTTGGTAATCAAGGAATCGATGTCCATAAGCAATGTCAACAATTGATGAGGTTGACTGAAACGCGGTTCATCTCTATAGAATGTAATCATAATGGCTCCCTGCAGAGCTTTGTGACTAAAACGGCGATCACCACGCGATACCAAAGCCTCATGGACAGCTGGATCAAAAATGCTGCGATAAACTTCACGACGTTTTTCAATATCCATCAGGCGATAATTACGGGCACTTTCCACTGGCTCACTCTAATATCAAATTGAAATTAAATTAACATTATTTTATAATTAAAAAATAAATAATATTCCCCTCCTCACCATTGCACTCTTTTCCTGTTCGGCCAAAAACTTATCAACACTAACTTGAAATTTGTGCCAAAAATTAAAACCATTCTCCTCTAGACCGGGTGTACGTTCCAACCATTTCTCGATTAACTCCAATAGGGATGGTTCCATTTCCGATTTTATAATGGCATTAACTGATTCACTGTTATTACCAAAAGCTTCCGAGTATTTTTGATTATATTTAACACGATGTTCACTTTTCACGCCCAATTTATTTTCAATTAGACGAAATTGTAAACTCTGGAAACCGGATGCGGGAGCCAAATAGTTACGGAAATCCATAAAATCTAATGGGGTCATAGTTTCCAAAATCGGTACTTGGTCGACAAGTAACTGCAAAGAAATAAGTGCAGATAGTTTTATGTTACAATATTGAATAATTTTCTTTAAACATTTCATATTTACCTTGAAAATCATCACAACTCGATTGAGACGTTTCAAAATTTCCAATGTTCGGGTTTCTTCAATTACTTCGTTGTTCAACATTTCACGAATCGAGTCCAGTTCGAAAATAATTTGCTTGAACCACAATTCATAGGCTGAAAATATAATAATATATATATAATTAAAAATAGAACGTATTTGGCGTACCGGTAGAGTTATAACTCTTAAATTTGAAATGATGGAGTGTAGGATAGATGTACTAAATTTTAGTACTATTTCGTGGCATGTGAACGGATAGTGAAATTTGAAATTTGGAATTCGGAATACGAATCAAGGTTGAGAAGTAGGATCGGTTTTGGAAGTGTGTACTCATGGATTAGAAAAGTACTAAACAGTACTAAATTTGGTACAATTTGAATTCGGAGGAACGGATTGAGCTGGAATTCTGAAATTTGAAATTAACATTACCGTCGTAGTTTAGAATTAGGATATGTAGATAGTTTTGGAAATTTGTACTTATATGTAATAAAAGTACTTAAAGGTACTACTTTTGAATTTAGTTGAACCTATAGAGATGAAACACAAATATACCATATACGATTGTATTGTAGAATTGAGGTATGAAGGTAGTTTTAGAAGTGTAGTGTACTAAATCGTACTAAATTGAAATCTTGAAATTTGGAGTTTGGAGCACTGTTGGAGTGTAGGATTAGGGTATGTAGAAAGTTTTTAAAAATGTGTACTAACTGGTACTAAACATGGTATAATATTAATTTGGATGAAACTATAGAATTGGGGTATGTGGGAAGGGTAAACGTACTTATGTATAATAAATGGTATAATTTGGATTTGGATGAACCGATCAGGTTGGAATCATGAAATTGGGAAATATATTATGGAATGTGTACTAATTGATACTAAATTTTATACAATTTGGATTCATGTGGTTCACCTATTGATAGAGCTGGAATCCTGAAATTTCGAATTAGATTAGGATAAGTTAGGTTTAAAAGAGGGGTGGATAATAGCACCACATGTCCAACAAAAATAAGGACATACACTTAAGCCAGTTTAGGCCTGCTGCGTGCTCTATAAATGAAAATAAAGTTAGACTTAGGGAAAATTACAGTCAAGCATCTTGGGTTTGATCCCCCTATGATTCTAGAAATTCTGTATTTCTTGAGAATTTGAGAAGACTGGATGCTTCTCCATTCACACCCCCTCAGATCGTTTTGTCCGTGAATAGTGTCGTATGGCAAGAATTGTTTTGCTGGGCAGTGGCACAGGAAATATTCCAAGCGTTTCGCTGCCTTCCCCACATGCTCTACACCTACTGCTATCCTCGCGTGACTTCAGGCTGAGGTGTCCCGTAAAAATACCCGTCGGTTTGCTTATTTCTTTTTCGTTAAGCGTAAGGATTTGCTTCGTTTAGCCTTCATTTGGGTCACCACATAGAATTTTTGTGATCTGTCCAGTCTTCTTTTGAATTAAGTTTCCTGTTGGGGTTTAATAAATGGCTGAACCGATTGGCCTGGAATCCTAAAGTAGGAGAATATTATTTCTATTGGATTGTTAAGATGGGTACTTGGAAATGTATATAATGGGTGCTAAATGGTACTAAGATTGATAAAATTTGTATCTAGGTGAACTGATAGAGCTGGAATCCTCAAATTTTTAATTAAGATTACAAATATCCGCCCGTCTGCCTGTTTGTCTGCCTGGCTGGAATAACCGATTTCATCCAAACTTTGCACATCGTTATATTTCTTCCAGACATAAGATGGGGAAAATCGGTTCACTCCTTCTGTAATATAAGCGAACTTACTATCCGTTTTGAAAAAATATATCTTATGGTTAAATTGTAGCGAATTGAATAACCGATTTATTGTTTTCACACCTTAATATTGTACCTAACCCACTTTAAATCCGCTTCTGGTAACTTTCTACAGATGGTTATATATTTTCGTCCGATTTTATGTAAATGGTGCACCAAAAACCTTATATATCTTTCGATGAACACAGCGTACTGAATTAAATGCAGAATTATGTGTGTTTCGTAAAAAATTATGTGTGTTTCGTAAAAATCGGTTCCGATTTAGATATAGCTCCCATATATATTTTCGTCGAATTTTATGGAAATTTACGAAATTTGGCACAGCGTACCGAATTAAGTCTAGAGTGATGTGTGTAAGGTTTCATGAAAATCGGTTCAGATTTAGATATAGCTCGCATATATATTTTCGTCCGATTTAATAGAAATAGTGCACCCAAGTCCCTATGTATTTTTCGATTTGTGCGAAATTTGGCATAGGGTACTGAATTGAGTGTAGAATGATGTGTGTGAAGTTTCGTGAAAATCGGTTTAGATTTACATATAGCTCCCAAATAGAGTTTCGTCCGCTTTTATGGAAATTGATTCACCAAAGTCCCTATTTATCTTTCGATCTGCACATAATTTGGCATGGGGTACTGAATTGGGTGTAGAATGATGTGTGCTGAGTGTCGTGAAAATCAGTTCAGATTTAAATATATCTCCCAAATATAGTTTCGTCCGATTTTGTGTAAATGGTGCACCAAAGTCCCTATATATCTTTCGATTTGCAATATATACATTTTTTTAAATATAAAGATCTTAAAGTACTTACCTTGATGTGTAATAATGAACAAATGTTCATCGTGCACTGGCCGATTATCTTTTTCGGACAACATGCATTGAGCATTTAAGATATGATCCAACATCAAATATTCACCATAGATTTTTCCCACCTCTGTATTCAATGGCACCGCCTTGTCATCGTGCTCCGCTCTTCATATGAAATAAATGGAAAGTAATCAGTTAAATATTGAATTATAGCAGCAATAATTTTTCATTTTTTTTTTCAAAGACATATTGTGAGAAGAAAGTATTTTTTATAAATTTTTTTATTTTTCATGAAGTCTTTGGTGTTTGATTTTTGCCGAAGAAGGTATCAAAAGGTGTGGGCCGATAAGCCATATTTTCAAACGTATATAAATATAGATTTATTTGTTCGTAGACAATACAGACTAAGCCATTTGTTTTAATTGTTTCGCTATTGAGAGCAGCCACCGGACGTCGAAAATACTTCTCTAAATGTAATTTTTTTTCGAAACAGTGTTTTTACGATGTTTTTTTTTTTTTAATCGATCTCTATATTCCAACAATAATCCGCAACGTAATTTTTTTCAAATGATTTCGTCAATTTTTAAAAATGAAGTTTTGTTTATTTCGCTCTTTATATTTCAATATTCTTAAAGGTCAGATCACAATTAGAGATATGTCAGTCCGAGTAATTTTAGTTCCGTTTAGTTTTAAACACATATTCAATCGGTATAACAAAGAGTAAATTTAAACATTTGTCTTATTATATTCAACAAAAATGTTTCCACTTAAAAATAAAGTTCAGTTTTATTCTAGAAAATCTGTGCATGCAGAAAATTTTGAAATTTTATTCAAATATTTTCTAGCTATGTCCTAAGCCGATGTTTTTATTTTTTTTTTTTCATTTTTATTCTTTCAATTCAGCTTCTGGTTACGCAATAATTTTTCGGCCCACAACTCGTCACTATTTTAGTTTAGGAAATTAATTTTAAAACACGCACCCATTAAAGGTTGATGAATAAGGGCAAGACATTTTGGTTTACGTATTCAATATTGAATTTAATATATAAGTTTATTTAATATATTTTTTTAATCTTCAAACTTTTCTGGCGGTCCGTATGAGGCGAGAGTTAAATGAAAACTGATTTCTTTTTTCATATTTTTTTCAAATCGCATTTGAAATCAATCTCATATAATCTTTTTTTTGACATGGGGGCTTAGACAGTTCATCGTAGACATTAAGTTAAGATTTTATACGAGGTCTTATCAATCAGTTGGGAATCTAACATAACAACATTTTGAATAAGTAAGCGAAACAACATTCCAAAATATTTTTAACCAACATCAATTGGAGACCTTTCCTAGCCATGAAGGTCCTCACAGAATTATTTTCCAACTCAATAATCGATAATACTTCGTAAATCTTACCATTGGAATTTATGTAGTTTTTTTCCTGCATTGTCATCCCCAGCTGCAGCCCAACGTCACAATCAATGTCATCAACAGTGGCAATAAAAAGCAAAAGTGGCAGTAAACACCAATCATCCATCGTCAACATCAGCATCACCATTAGCAGCAGCAGCCAGAGCATCCGATATCACCATCAAAATGCTGCTGTTGTTGTTATTATCTTCGTTGTTGTCGTCGTCCACATCGTCGTGGTGTCATCTATCAGTTCTGCTACATTGATTTGTAAAGTGAATGTTTATTTCGTTCGTTTGTGAGTGTGTCTTATCAATATTAGAGTTGAACACATAAACGAAGAGTTCGTATCTGTATTTTAGAATCAACTGCTCACCACTATCAACACCGCCGAGTAATCGAAATCAAGCATAAATGATGACACGCTTATGGCTGATATGCAATATAACAAAATTATTTAAATGCATATTCTTTTGCTACCACATATTTTAAGAGATTTTGTTAACAATTTAAAAACAAATATTTACACTGGTCTACAAAAATACTATGAAATAATGAGCATTGCCTTTTAGTGAATATTCCAGGGGTAGAATTTTTCAAAGACACAAAAGACCTTAAAAATAATATAAAAATCCATAAAAATAAATGGAATATACATTTCCAAATTACAGCCAATTTCATTGATGGTGAGAACAAAATCCTCCAAATCATTCAGAAACGTACTGAATTAAGCCTAGAATGATGTGTGCTATGTTTTATGAAAATCGGTTCAGATTCAGATATTAGTTACATACTTAGCTGGCTTCTTACAGAACGGTTGTTTCATAAGTCGAGCTTAAACAAGATTTCCATGCGCGTCGGTCTTGTGCGCAAATCCACCAATTTGGAAGACCACGTTCCAATATGTGGTTTTCTACTTGGTCTTTCCAATCTAATTCGTGGCCTTCCCCTTCTACGGGAACCATCAGTAGGCTCGTTTTATATGCCTTGTGAGCTAGGGCATTCTCATTCATCCGCACAACATGGCCTAGCCACCGTAGTCGCTGCAGCTCAATACCACTGACTATGTCGATGTCCGCGTATAAATGGTAAATCTCGTGATTCATTCGACGCCGATATTCACCGTCGACGCAGATCGGCCCGTAGATCTTTCGGAGAATTTCTCTTTCAAACACCCCAAGAGCTGCCTCATTTGCTTGCGCAAGTACCCATGCTTCTGATCCATATAATAGCACGGGTAGTATCAGCGTCTTGTAAAGTGTGAGTTTGGTCTGGCGGCAGGTGGCCTTGTTTCTAAATTGCTTACTTAGACCATAGTAGCATCTGTTGGCCATCACAATCCTTCTCCGAATTTCAAAACTGATGTCATTCGTTTTATCTATGGCGGTACCAAGGTATATAAAGTATTTAACTACCTCGAAGCTGTAGTTCTCAAGTTCCACAGTTGGTCCGAGTCTACTGGACGTCTTGCGCGTTGATACTATCAGCTTGGTCTGCTCGCCGTTTACTGCCAGACCCAATTTGGCAGACTCCTTTTCAATTTGTTCAAAGGTGGCTGTTACCGCTCGCAATGTCCGACCCATTATATCGATGTCATCGGCGTAGGCGAGTAACATATGTTGTTTGCTGTACAGAGTGCTATTTCTGTTCACCTTTGCGTCTCGTATGACCTTTTCCAGCAGGATATGGAAAAGATCACACGACAAACTTGTCTAAATCCTCGTTCGGTATTGAAGGCCTCCGATAGGTCCTTTCCTACTTTAACTGCTGACCTTGTGCCACTTAAAGTTATCCTGCATAGCCGTATTAATTTTGCAGGAATGCCGAACGTAGAAATGGCTTTAAACACCTCTGAACGGATAGGCCTGTCGAATGCGGCTTTATAGTCGACAAATAGGTGGTATGTGTCAATGTGTTTTTAGTGGGTCTTTTCCAGGATTTGGCGCAGAATGAAAATCTGGTCAATGGTAGATTTGCCAGGTCTGAAGCCGCATTGGTATGGTCCGATGATGTCATTTATATATAGATAGTTGGCACATATCTTCTTGTCTCCTTTTTTGTGCACGGGAAATTGTACCAAATTGTACTAATCAGCTGGTGCATGCTCCTGACCAACATCTGGCCACCAGTTCGGCTGGTAACCCATCAGCTCCTGCTGCTTTATTGTTCTTGAGCCGATTAATTGCTTCTATGACCTCATTTTGGCTAGGTGGTATACACTCTATACCATCATCTCTTATTGGTTCTGGGCAGTGTTGCCAATTTAGCACTTTTAGTGCTAGATTTAGCACTTTTTAAACTCGTTTAGCACCAAAAAAATTGATCTAGCACCTAGCATCTTTTTTAGCATTTTTATTTTTTCAGGATATTTACAAAATTTTTCGTCTATTTGGTTTCATCCAAAAAAAATTTCGATTTAATTGAAATTTATTTATGTTTCACGCTAAGAGTTTGATTTCCCAATGTTATAAAAGTGTCTGTAAATCTGTGAACAAGTAAAGAAACCCGTTCCGGCCGAACTTTTTATACCTTGCACCATATTATTTTTATTAAAATTTTCTTAAGTTGTTTGGTACTTCATATGGTGACTGTGACATTGATTGCTGTAGTTTGTTTATTTGGGAAAATGTGGGGATTTTATGTGGAAGTAATGTAAAAGTAATGAACGTAAATGGTAAACTGTCTGGAATCCAGAATGTCAAATTATAGTCACTTCATAGTACCGTAATTGGGTCGTGTCCCACAAATTTTCCGCACCCATATTTTTTTTAAATTACAGACACCTAGGTGCGGAAAAAAGGGTTTAAAGCCTTTAAAATATGCGAATAGGACGGAAATGTTATATGGAGTATATGTCCAAATATACCCTAACAGAGCCCTCAAAATACCGAAAATACTTTAGGCTATGCCAGCCTATGCATATGTGCCACCGAATAATTTAAGTACCGCTCTACACCGTAACAAAGAACCATATTGATAATTTTTGGTAGAAATTTTTTTTCTAATGAAAATCCAAAATATCAAATTGGAATCAATTCGGTTGGGATTAATCTATATCCCATTTTTAATGCCAAACATGCTAGAATTATTAGTAATGTAGAAAATTTAAAATATCTGTCTTCAATATTGCGAGCTATATCTTTGTATCAGACAGACGGACATGACTACATCGAAGAATTTTATTCTGATTAGGAATACATAGGATATAAGGTGAATATTTCTAGGTGTTGCAAGAATATTTAAAATACTTACTCCATCGTGTGTGTATAATGCATTTTTAAAAGATAAAAATCTCATTATTAGCAATAAGCGAAGTTCCTTCCATAAAATTTTTAGCACTTTTATTTGGCACATATTTAATTTTTTTAGCACTTTCTAGCATTTTTTTTTAACAAAATCTGTCATTTTTTATCGGCAAAGTTTTGGCAACAATGGTTCTGGGGTATCTTTTTCAACGCCACTATTTGATCCTCAACACGCTGTCTGTATCTGTCACCAGGTTTCCTTCATCATCTCTACAGGAGAATGAGCCTGCACCAAAGCCTTCGGTTTGGTGTTTTACTCGTTGGTAAAATTTCCGGACTTCATTATGACGCTCACGTTTTTCTTGTTCTTTATTCTTTTTCTGAAAACACGTTTCTCCTCTCTCCTTTTCTCCCGATAATTCTCCTTCACGTTACGTGTTGCTACTGTCTGCAGGGTTGCCCTATACGCTGCGTTTTTCACATCACTAACATTACGACACTCCTGATCGTACCATGGGTTTCTTGGTGGTGGTTTTTGGTACCCAAGTGTTGCTTTTGCTGCAGTTATTTTGGGAGATTAGCTCACTATTTCATTGGGCACCGCGGGGAGGTAAGTGTCCACAATTGAGATGAAATATGGACCAAGATAAGCCTGGACTTCGCCATGTTAAAGCCAATCAGAGACGTTGCTTGGTATCTATCATCCCCTACGCCACCCTCAGATTTAGATATAGCTCTCATATATATTTTCTCCGATTTAAAGTAAATGGTACACCGAAGACACTATATACTCTTCGATTTTCACGAAATTCGGCACAACGTACTGAATTAAGCCTGTGTGCTAAGTTTCGTGAAAATCGTTTCAGGTTTAGATATAGCTCCCATATATATTTTCGTCCGATTTATATTTTCGTTTGATATTCGGAACAACATTTTTGGGCTCATATCTGGAAATATATTTCAAAAAATTCAACATAACTGATTTGGTAGATGGCTGCTATAAAAATACATTAAGACTGAATCTTTAATATTTAAAGAAAAGTGAAAAAAAACGGCGATGGTTCCAATTTTCATCGATAATCTTACCTCGGTTCAATGTTTATTAAAATAGCCGCATGAACAAAAATATTTTTTTCGGGAATTACATTTAGACTTTAGATAAAAATATAAAATATAAAAAAATATAAAGAAATATTTTTCGAGTAACACATAAAGTCGTGGGTTTTTTAACATGTTTGTTTTGGACGTGGCTTCAATAAAAAATACCTGGGACCACAAATGTATGTGGGTCTCAGTGTGGTCTTTGCTGACCTGGAAGGGAAACGGCAAATTTTATTTCGAAAACTTAGTTAAGGTTCTAAATAATTTTTTCACATAAAATATTTCAT